CGTCCTGGGCTACATCAGGCTCCAGCCTGCTCCAGCCTCCCCCAGCGTCGCCTGTGCTGTGTGTCTGAGCCTGAGTGTGAAAGAAGTAGGATCGAGGGTGTGGTGGGAGGGGCTCCCCTACACAGACTCCTTCTGTGGCTGTGGGAAACGACCTTCCTTTGCTGTTGTGGTTTGTTTGCATTGGTTGGGGACTGAGCGCAGGGCCTTACACATGCTAGGCAAGCACTCCACCTCTGAGTGCCCCCCCAGCCCCCACAATTTATTTTGCATTTCACCATCACGAGGCCTGAAGAGTGGAGTTCTCCAGCTGCAGCAGCCAAGTCACAGCTCTCAGGTGACAGAGACAAGGACCGGCAAATATCTCCCTCCTGAGCCGGCCTATCCTTTAGTGACTGCAGGGAAAGTGAGGCCGTCTGAAGGACAGAGGAGTTGTGCTGGGACAGGCTAAGTGCTCAGCCCTGGCCTGGCTTCTTGCGGACACTGGGCTTGCCCAGGGTCCTCACCGGCCTCTAGCCTCAGCTGCTCATCTGTCTGACCCAGTTCTGTCCAACACCAACCGTCACGATAGATGAGATTCCAGCCCCAGGGCCAGTCACTTCCTCTTAAAATTATAAAAACAAAGACACTGGAAACAAGTCATTTGTAAATCTGGAAATGGGGTTCCATTCATTCATTCATTCACTCACTCACTCACTCAAGCACATATTTATCGAGCATCTAATATATGCCAGCCATGTGGTATGCTGGGGGTCAAATAGTGAACATGGAAATATCATCACCTTCAAGGAACTGGCACTGTAAAGGGGATCAGGCTGTGAGCAGGACTCACACTGTCTACCATCGTCAGGAATAAGCAATGAAGCCTGGCACGGAGGCGCACGCCTGTAATCCCAGCACTCAGGAGGCTGAGGCAGGAGGATCTTTGCAAGTTCGAGACCAGCATGGGCTACAAAGTGAGCTCAAGGCCAGCCTGAACTGCATAGCAAGACCTTGTTTCAAAAAGACAGAATAAAAGGAATAAGCAATGGAAAATAAGGCCAGAGGGAGATGGAAAAATGGCTGGATAAATGAGGTTCACTCCATTTTAGCCCTGGAGTCTGCAAACAATTTCTCCTGAGCTGCCACCTGTTCTAGTAAATCAAACTTTGCTAACAGAGCATTGTGGTGCATGTCTGTAATCACCTGGTATCTCAGGAGACTGAGGCAGGAGGACCTCAAGTTTGAGGCCAGCCTGGGCAACTTAGTGAAACCCTGTTTCAAAATAAAATAAAAAGGGCCTGGAGTGTACCTCAGTGGTAGAGTGCTTGCCTTGCATGCATGAGGCCCTGGGTTCCATCCTCAGCACTGCAAAAAATAAAAATAAAAAATAAAAATAGTTTGCCATCACAAGGTAATACCACATCACACTCACTACCAAGGAAGGGCCACATGACAAAGACGGACACCAGATACCAGCAAGGATCGGGACAAACTGGAGCTTCGTGCCCTGTTGAGGGAGAGACCGATGGGTGCAGCTATTCTGGAAAAGTCTGGTAGTTCCTCAGAAGACCAGACATAGCTATATGACCCAGTAATTCCACTCCTTTAATTTCCTAAAGGCATTTGAATTTATGGCCATTGCCTAGCATGTACCAAAACCCTGGGTTCTATCCCCACCACCACAAAACAAAAGCAATACCAAATTTTACCAGAATGTTCATAGAATGTTTCAGCCAACAGTGGCAATAACCCCAAAGTCCACCAACTGATGAATGGATGGGAAAAATGGGTCTCGTCACATAACGGACTATTATCTGGCAAGAAAAATAATTGTGATCCCAACATAATGTTATAATGTGAATGAACTCTGATAGCATCGTGTAAGTGCAAGGATCCAGGCACAAAGTTTGCATATTGCTTGATTCCATTTATATGAAGTGTCCATCTATAGACACAGAAAGTAAACCAGGCGTGGTGGCACACACCTGTAATCCCAGCACTCAGGAGGCTGAGGCAGGAGGATCTCCTTAAATTTGAGGCCAGGCTAGGCTACATAGTAAGAGACCATGTCTCAAAAAAGCACAAAAGAAAGTAGAGGAGTGGTTGCCTTGGCCGCGGGTGTGGAGGACAGGGGGGATGACAGCTGAAAGGCACAGCATTTCTTTATGAGGTGATGAAAATATTCTGATAGGGATTGCACAACTCTGTGGCTACCCTAAGCGCCATTAAATTGCACATCTTAAGTGGGTGAATTGGCCGAACACATGTCAAGCCTTGTGTTCAACCCCCAGTATCATAAAAACAGAAAAATAAAATGGGTGAAGTGTATAAATTGTGGACTATATCTCAGTGAAGCTGTTTTTAGCTTTTAGGTTCCCCTGGCCCAGGTATTAGAGCCTCACACACGCTCAACAATGCTCCTCTCCACCCTCTTTTAAAATTTTATTTTAAGCAGAGCCTCGCTAAATTGCTCGGGCTGACCTGGAATCTGCGATCCTCCTACCTCAGCCTCCTGAGTAGCTGGGATTACAGGTGTTCGTCTGCAGGTCCAGCTACAGAGCAGCTGCTTCTGAAAGGGCTGTTAATCTTGGTTCCCGTCAGGAAAGGCCTCTCGGGAGGTGGCCCCAAGCTCTCTGAGAGTAACGGGTCACGGGTGACCGTGACGTTTTACAAGGCTCGCTCTTCACACTCACCTCTTCAGTCAACCCTTCAGAAACAGCGTGGCTTAGACCCTGACAGCCCCACTGAACAGTGGAAGGAAGCAAGGAAGCAAGTGATAAGTTAGGCGACTCCCCTCGGGTCACACAGCCGGGAAGCGGCTCGTCTGAGATTCATTTCCGAGGAGCTCTGACAGCAAAGCGCCCACTCTTACCCATGGCGCTGCGCTTTCCGCTCCCAGTGCAGTCTCAGAATTCCTGAGCTTTCCCAGACCAGGAAGACGGCTCAAGGCAAGACGGAGGAGATGGGGACACGCAAGCCTTTGAGGAAGGGAGCGAAGGGTGCGCCAGGTGCGGAGGAGAGCAAGGAGCGTGGCCAGAGGCATCTCGGCGTGAGTGAGGCGCTAACTTGGGCTCCAAACTTAGAGCCACAGAATCACCTGGTGCTGCTACGTGGGAGGCTGAGGCAAGAGGATGACTTGAGCCCAGGAATCTGAGACCACACTGCGCACCAGAGGGAGAATGTGCCTCTAAATTAAATAAATACAGCACACTCTCGGACCTCGTTGTCAGAGGTTCTGACCCAGTGGGACTGAGATTCGAACCAGGAACTCAGTTGCAAGCTCCCGGGGTGGGGGGCAGGTGGCCCAGGGACCACGCTGTGATACATTCAGCATAAACTTCGGGATCAGCACGAGACTCCTCTGGGTAACCACCCCTTCCTCTCCTGGACACTCCCCTTCCCTCTTGACACCTAGTATTCTGGTTTTTGTTTCATTTTGTTGAGACGGGGTTTCGCTCTGCAGTTCAGGCTAGCTTTCAACTCACTATGTAGACCAGGCTGCACTCAAACTTGTGGCCATCCTCCTGCCTCCGCCTCCCGAGTGCTGAGATGACAGGCGTGTGCCACCACACCTGGCTATGATGCCTAGTTTTCTGGATCTCGCTCTTTCCCTGTGCCCAGAGACCCCACCCCCACCCTGACCCCCCACATGCAGCAGGAGCATTTCTGGTGTCCCAAGCTCACGCCTGTTCTTCTCTCTGCCTAGTGCACCCATTCCTGCCTTCCTTTGCTCTGCGTCTTCTCCCATGGGAGGCCAAATCTGAGCTTCCTCCCCTTACCCTCCAGTCCCCCAGAGCTCATCTTTCAGGGGTCTGCTTAAGTATTATCTCTCTCTCTTTTTTTGTCTTTTTGAGACAGGGTCCCGCTATGCAGTTCAGGCTGGACTTGAGCTCACTTTGTAGCCCAGGCTGGTCTCAAACTTACAAAGATCCTCCTGCCTCAGCCTACCAAGTGCTGGGATTACAGGCGTGCGCCACCACACCCAGGCGTTTAAGTATTATCTCTTTATAAAGCCTTCCCTAACTACAAGCGAATTTCTTTAGCCAGGAGCAGTAGCACGTAATGTAATGCCAGCCGCGCAGAAGGCTGAGGCAGACTGATCACAAGTTTGAGGCCAGCCTAGGCAACTTAAGAGAGTCTCAAAATAGAAACAGAAAATACAAGACAATGGTGCATGCCTGTAGTCTCAGCACTGAGGGAGGCTGAGACAGGAGGATCTTAAATTCGAGTTTCACCTGAGCAACTTAGCTAAATCCTGTCTCAAAATTTAAAAAAATAAAAAGAAGCCAGGCATAGTGGCATACACCTGTAATCCCAGCACTTCGGAGGCTGAGGCAGGAGGATCTGTGCAAGTCTGAGACCAGCCTGGGCTACAAAGTGAGCTCAAGGCAAGCCTGAATTGCATAGCAAGACCCTATCTAAAAAAGACAAATAAATAAATATATAAATAAATAGGACTGAAGATGTAGCTCAGTGGGAGAGCACCCTTGTGTTCAATAACTTCCTCATACTGAAAAAAAAAAAAAAATGAGAGGGCTGCTGGGGATGGAGCTCAGAGCTCTCTGGGCTCAATAACCAGTATTGGAAAAAAGAAAAATAAGGATGAAGAGTAAGTGAGAAACGGATGCAAGAAGTATTTCAGGCACCTAATAAATAGTCGCCGTTGGGCTGGGAGCAGCTCAGTGGCAGACAGTTTCCGTAGCAGGCCTGAGGCCCTGGGGTCTGTCTCCAGTGACACAAGCCACCATGACAAAAGTAGCTGTTATTTTCTTCCATTGCTACTTGACCTTGAGCAGATCAATTCTGCAGCTCTAAAATGAGCTCACAGGCTTGTGTCGCGCACTGTACCCATGTATAGAAGAACTTCCTTCTCATTATCCCTATTTCCTAGTGGAAGAAAATGAGGCAAAGAGGGGTTAAAAATGTGTCCAAGTTCTCTTAGGTGGAAATATGCAGCACTGGGCATCAGGTCCCAAAATGAGAATTCTTTTCATTTCTTTTATTTGTACTTGGGGGCCCTGTGAATTGAACCCAGGGCCTCACACATGCCAGGCGCGTTCTCTACTACGGCACCACAGTCCCTGGCCCAGGCCCTGAGTTCTTCATGGCATGACACTGTCACGACTGGGACCCTGGTCTGGCCCATGGTGGGCGCTCAGGAGACACTGAGTTGATAGTCTCTGTATCAGAATCACCCAAAGATGTCCTGGCCGTGATGTGTCATGCTCTTTATTTGTTATGACTCAACACTTCAAGATCTCTAATGAGAATGCAATATAAAAAAATAATTTAGGAAAAGAATTCAGACTGGGAAAATTCAGCCCTCTAAAAGCTTGGTGGGCCCAATCTTCTTCAGTGGGGTGACCATGGGTTTTAACCCCAGAATTTAAGATAGTGCTGGGGGCACTGGGGAGAAGGGAAGGGGCACGGGTTCCCCTGCCCCACCTTCTGGATTGTTCTCCAAACCACTGTGTCCTTGGCACCTCTCTCCCCATGAACAACTGGGAGAGATGCGGTGTAAGGAAAACCCAGGGAAGAAAATCCTGGGTGTTATTTTCCAACAGGGGTGCTCCAAGGGGAGGTGGCCCCTCTCTCCTGGCTCCCACCTCTCTTCCAGTCCAAGTCATTAACCTTACCCACGCTCCACTGGGCCTCATGCAAACCTCAGGGAGCCCCACAAAGCCGCCTTCTCTCTGCGCCTGGGATCTTTCCTCCAGAGCCTTTTGCTCACCTGACTCCTGTGGCTCATGTTTCTTCCACCCCAGAGGAACCTGGGAAATATTAGGTTAAGGGAAGTCTCCGGTCCTGCCCCCTTCCACACAGAGGCCCAGCCTTGCGTGACTCAGAAGATAAAAGACACAGAAAACAGAGCACAGAACAATGGTTGATTGACCCGAGCCCCGAGATATCATGAATTAACCCGAGTCTCAGGAAAACGGAAAAAGACAATCCCACTTGGGTTACTGGATGCAAAAGCTAACAAGAGTCACCACCAAGTTCCACTAGGAGGCTTTGCGGAAATGGACAACTCTCTGAAACGCTTGCCGAAAGTCTTCGTTGAACACGGTGTAGATGATGGGATTGATGAGGGAGTTTAAATAGCCTAACCAGGTGAAGAAGTCAAAGAGGGCCGGGTGGATCCAGCAGGAGTCGCGGCAAATGGGAAGGACCAGAGAGACCACGAAGAAGGGCAGCCAGCAGATGATAAAGGCCCCCAGGATGATCCCCAGGGTCTTGGTGGCTTTTCTTTCCCGAGCGGCGGAAATCCTCTTGCGCTCCAGGACACTGTCGGCAAGTTTGATCCTGACCTGGTTGAAGAAAAGTGGGGAGCCGGCGTGGGAGTGGCCCTCGTGGAGGCTGGGGTTCAGCGAGCAGAGCGAGGAGCCCGCAGAGCCGGTGATGAGATGCGCGGTGGTGAAGCGCTTCCCGCTCAGGGAGGGCGGGTTCAGGATGCGGCTCCGGGCTGCCGCGTAGATGCGGCTGTACAGGATGATGAGCAGGACGGAGGGGATGTAGAAGGCCCCGCAGGTGGAGTAGATGGTGTAGGAGATCTGAGACGTGTTCACCAGGCAGTCGGACATCTCCTCCTGAGCTCTGGCCTGCCGCCAGAAGAGCGGTGGGACGGAGATGCAGATGGAGAGGACCCAGACCGCGGCGATCATGGCAGCAGCGTGGCCGGCTGTGCGGCGCTTGCTGTACTCCAGGGCGTCCGTGATGGCCCAGTACCTGTCCAGAGCGATGACGCAGAGATGCAGGATGGAGGCCGTGCAGCAGGTGATGTCCGAGGACACCCAGATGTCACACAGGACTTGGCCAAAGCTCCAGGTGCGGGTGGTGGTGTACGCGATGCTGATAGGCATGACCAAAACGGACACCAGCAGGTCGGTGGCGGCCAAGGAGCCAATGAGGTAGTTGGCCGGGGTGTGGAGCTTCCGGGTGAGTAAGATGGTGGTAAGGACAAAGGCGTTAGAGAGGAGAGTGGCCAGTGTGATGACGGAAAGGACCACTACCAGCGAGATCTGGAGTGCCTGCAGGACCCCGGGGTCCCAAGCCCCTGGGGTTTCTGTAGCGTTCAGGGATCTGTTGGTGGCCTCCTGGGGAAGGCTTTCTACGGACTGGTTTGGTGGGGACATGCTAGGCGGCTGTCTCTTCTCAGACTCCCGCACACAGGGCTCCTTCTCTCACAGTTGTCCTGGCTGCAGAGCAAGGTCATTCCTCTGCTTCATGCTGGTGGGAGCCACGCATCGGAACAGACCACAGACCTCGGAGACTCGGCTATTTAAAGAACCCCAAGGCAGCTACCAGCTGGCAGCTACGGGTCTGTCCTAAACCCGATGAATCTGCAGATGTCTCACCGTGTTGGAACTTTGCCCAGCGGATGGTCCAGCTCACTGGACTCATACTGGGTTTCTTAGGCAGGTGACGAGGTACCACAGAGATGCGGGCCGTGCTCTGGGGTCCTGGCTCTTGGTATTTTGGTTGTGTTCACAGTTTGAGACATGAGTGTGTTTCATGAAAACTTAAAAATCTCTCCCATCCCCACGCAGTGGAGATCCTGGATATCAGTTTGCTGCCAGGGAACTTCTAAAACTAGAGACAGAAAGGACCCGCTGATTCAGAGAAGCAGTTCAGGCAGCAGCTCAGCTTTCCCAGGTTCACCCTGCTACAGCCCAGGCCACTTCACTTTGGTTTCGGTCCCACTGTCGGTTTTGAGTCTGAACAGACAAAAACATTCCAGTTACCAAGGCTTGAAGAATGCATGAGCTGGGAGAAGCCGAAACAAATAGATCACCGTCAGTTTAGCCAGAGGAGCAAGCGTCCTGAAGCTCTGCGGTTGAAAAAGAAAAAAAAAAGTAGAGTTAGGCTCTAGAGGGGTGATTCTGAAGGCTGAAATTCTCAGATTGCTGTGGTGGAACTGAATTTCTCCCAAAGGTGCTGGGAGAATACACAGGAGGGTGACGGGCCCTACCCCCACAGTTCCCCGAGGAGACCAAGTGTCACCGCTGTTGGAAGTATCACAGGCTCGTTACGAGTACATAAAACCAGCTCTGTCAGTTATGAATCAGAAAGCACCATTCTATTTATTCAGCAATGGAAACTAAACTAAACAAAACTGTACAGGCGGAAACAAAGGCCACCCCCTCACCAAAAGAAACCCTACCAGATCGGTACAATGTTATTTCTCTAGGGCTTGTGGAGGGGTCTTTTCCTCTATTCATTTGAATTTTCCAAATTTCCCAGACTGAGAATGAATGATTCTTTAAAAACACAACAAAAGCCAGTGATTGTGCAC